ATAAGCAAAACCAGATACCCCCAAAATCTAAACAAACGTGACAATTCACGGAGAAGATCCAAGTCAAGAAAAGGTGTCACTTGTTATTGTGGCAAGCCCGGTCACATCCAAAGGCACTACAGAAAGTGGAAGAAGGAATGATCCAAAGAAAGTGATGAGGAAAAGAAAGACGATACGGAGGTAGCCTCAGTAGCTATTGATGTTGACGCACTTGGTGATGGTAGTGCACTAATTTCTCATGCTGGTCTCAGTGAGTGTTCCACAAGTCAAAAATCTCTTTGGATTAATGACTCTGCATGTTCTTATCATATTTCTTCAAAGAAGGAATATTTTCCATCACTTACCCTCGGAGATTATGGCCATGTCAAGACTTTGAATGGCACATATCACTTACCCTCGAAGATTACGACATAGGTCAAGACTTTGAATGGAACATAGTGTGGAAAATTGTGGGCATTGGAACAGTTAATGACATCAATAACTCGAATGGCTGGTTTAATGATCTCTGGTTGGACAAGATGGTAGAGATAACACTTCATAACGGGCAAACTTCAATCTGATTCTAGTTCATTTGTCTTGAATGAATTGGGCTAAATTGCAAAGTCTGTTTGTTAATAGAAACGTGCGAAAAGCTTTCCAAAGGTTATATTTTGGTGTTCAGTGAGAGGAAGAAAATTCAACACCTCTTATCTATCCCAGGGCAAAGTTCTGCAAACGGGAGTGGATAAATGCAGTTGAAGATTACATCACTGCCTGAGTTGTGGCACCAAACACTTGGTACATGTTTGAGTGAGAAAAGGAATGGAGACTACTCCAACTAAGAAAGAAAAAATGCTATCTTGAAAGTATTTTTGCCTCTTGAAAATATGCACTCGATTCGTTTGTCAGCTGGTAAACAACATAGAGTTTTCCTTTCAAAGATCTCCTTCTCCACTCACGTTAAAACCTGGCTCTATTCATAAGAATTGGTACATCAGCTGATGTTTGCTCAATGGGTGACAAATCCTTGAGTGGCCTTGCTCATATTATGTTAGCTTTATTGATGGCCATATCTAGAAATGGTGTGGGCTTTTCCAATGAAAAGTCCAAAAGACCAAGTGCTGGATTATGGGTTTAAGATCTTTCAGTCAGTGTTGAAAGACCAAACGGGAAGAAAAGCTAAAATGTGGGTTAGAGCTGATATGGTGGTGAGTACAGAGGTCCATTTGAGAAGTATTAGCTCAGAACACGGCATCCAGACTTTAGAAGACAGTTCCCAAAAACTCCCAAGCAGAATGGAGTTGCAGAGAGAAATGAATAGAACCATTGTTGACAGGGTTAGATGTATGCTCTCTCATGCCTTAAACTTCTAAAACCTTTTGGGCTGAAGCAATGAATATGCAGTTTTACTTGATCAACCTTTCACCTTTCAACCTCCTCAACGGAGATGGTACCAAAAAAGGTGTTGGTCAGGGAAAAATATTTCTTACGATCATCTTGAGAATAATTTGGCTGCAAGGACTTTTGTTCATATTCCAAAAGATGAAAAGATCCAAAGCTTAGATTTCGAAAGTCAAAACAGTGTATCTATCTTGGGTTATGGAAATGATGAATATTTGGGTACAGATTATGGGATCCAGTTGAAAAATGAAGCTCATCAGCCAAGCAGAGATGTACGTATTCCTCGGAAGACGCAAACCATTGAAAGACTTTTGGAAAAATGAAAAAGCCAAAAGTCTATCAATGAGTTTCCTTTATTAGTGTCTTATGATGCAGAACCTCGTGTTAAGACCACAAAAGTGATGAAGAAGAACTAATGGTGAACCAGTTTTCAGAATGAATGCTGAACTAGCTCCAATAGAAGACACTGCCTCAACTTTGAGAAATCTCGAGAGGCAGGATACTTCCGCAGAGATATTCTCCTAATGAGTATGAACTTTGTTGACTCAGAAGGGGGGAAACCAAAAGAACTACCCAGGAGGCAATGGCAGATTGTAAAAAAGGAATGAGTGGATTGAAAAGCAATGCAAGATGAAGATGGAGTCTTGCATGAGAACCTAAACTTCTCACGAGTTTGGTGAAACTGACCCTCAACGGTAAGAAAGCATTGAAGAACAATATGCGGTGTTGCACAGCAGTTGAGACTGAACAGAACAACTCACGGAGCCAAGGTAACAAGGCGAGACTGGTTTGTGAGGAAGTTTCGGTCAGAAGAAAGGAGTTGACTTTTGAAGAAATTTTACTCACCGTAGTCAAGATGTCTTTCTATATTATAGAGTTGTGCTCTGGATTAAGCAGCCTAGGTTGAAATTTGGGAGATTCGAGCAACTTCGAATGTAAAGACTGCTTTCCTCCATGGTGACTTAGAGGAGGAAATTTATGATGCGAGTGGCCAGAACGGGTTTCAAGAGTCAAAAGGCAAGAACACTTGGTGTGTAAATTGCAGAAAATTGGCCTTTGTAATGGCCTCAAACCAGCTTCCCACGACAATGGTAACAATAAAAGGTTTGACTCTTTCATTGGTGAATCACGGCGTATCTAGAGAAAAACTTACTTCTGATCATCGATATGGCGTATTTGTTGAAAAAGTTTCACAGCAAGGCGACTTTATTATTCTCTTGGTTATATGTGGATGAATACTGCTTATTGTGGGCCAAGATGCTCAAGAGAGAAGTGAGAGCTTGAAAAAAGGGAACTTGGGAAAATCCATATGCATGAAAGTGATTGGGATCGGCAAAAACAGATACTCAGTTTTGGGAATGAAGATCTCCAGAGACAAGGAAAACAGAGAAAGATTGTGGCGTCTCAAAAAAGTATAAATCGAGAATTCTCGAGCAGAATATCAAGCCCTGAGCAAATGCGGTAACAACCCAAGTTTAGTACTCCCAGTGCAGGTCATTTCTCAAAATTTAAGTGCTCAAATCAATGTCCTTACAAAGTGAGAAAAAGAAAAAGAAGAACTGAAGAAGATTCCTTATGCATCCGCCGTTGGCAGCTTGATGTCTTCGCCATGGTATGCACAGACCGAGATATTGGCTCATGCTGTTGGTGTTTGTTAGTTCGCTGATTTCTGTTCAAATCCAGGTACAGAACACTGCACATGGCAGTAAGTGGATTTACAGGTATCTTAACGCACTTCGACAAATGTGCTTATTGTATTTTGGTTGATAAAATAGACCTGTGTTAGATGGTTATCACAGCATGAGACATGGTGGTGATGTTTGATTTTCGCGCAAATCAACTTCTGACTATGCTGATGACGTTTTTGCAGGAAGGCAAGCAGTTTCTTGTAATCAAATTATTGCAAAATGCGTTGCACTCGTCATCCACTGAGGCGGAATATATCGCCTTAACAGAACTAGCAAGAAAAAAACTCTTTGTGGATGACACGAAATTCTCTAAAAAATACAAAAAAAAAGGAATAAAAAAAAATTTCTTTTGGGGGGTGTTTTTGGCTAAGGTAAATAACAAGAGAAGTACATTCTGCTGATGGTGGATAGTCCAAAGCGCTGATATTCATCTCAAGGCAATTGTTAAAATTCGACCTCCTTGTTCTTTCATTCACCAGGTAAAGCATACTGAAATGCTTCTATAGGTTCCTCCTGTCACTGTCATTTGTTCAGGAAAGCCAGAAGGATTTTTTTTTATCAACAGATTCAAAGATTTCGAAAAGGAACAAATACCTATGCCTTCCTTTATCTGGTGTGCTGCAGTCTACTGTACCATGGATCTACTATGCTGGTTTCACAGGTGAAATGGGGTCATATACAGTTCTAAGAATGCTTCAGCCACGCTCGATGGCTCAAAGAGGCAATTTAAAGCCAATCAGAATCAATTTCTAAAATATAGAGTCAAAAAGCATCACATACATCACACTATCATAGCACCATGCTGTTGTGCGATGCGCACTTAATGGGACTCACACTTTGTTGAAAATAAAAGATGGTAGGTAATCAACCAACTGTAGTTTGAAAAAAAAAATCTTTGGTAGGTGATCCGTTGGTAGGTGAACGCGTTAATCACGCATCCACATCTCCTAATCCAGCTTCCACCTCTCCTATAAATAAGAGATGGTGCTAGAGCATCAATACACCAACGAGCAGAGCAAAAACAAAAAGAGATAGAGTTTTGAGTTTTAGAACGGGTTCTAAAACTTGGGTAGTTAAAATAGTGAAGATAATTTAAACATACATATATATGTACATATACATATATATATATACACAGTTAAAATAGTGAAGTTAGTTTTAGAACGACAACATCATTACATATATATATACACAGATTCACGTATACAGTTACTATTCACGCATACAGGTACTATTACGTATACTATTACTATTCAGGCATACAGTCACTATTCACGTATACTACTATTCACGTATACGGTTTCTGTTGGTGATAATATTCTGCACAAGTTAAAAATAGACGACAGAACTACAGGCACAATGGTTAGACTCAACTCATCAGGAACTTTTTATTGTTCCTTCTAAATTTTATGTTTATGATAATCGTAATGCATGTCCAAATATTGTTCTTATAACAAAAGTAGTATTTTTATTCTATTATTTATGAAGAATTTCAAACTCAATTTTAATTTCACTATTTTTGTTGCGAATAAGTCACATGACGACACCTATGTATTTGAAAACACTTCAAGTATAAGTGAATTATTAATATAATTGAATAAAGGAGAAATGTTATTATAATAAATATTTAAGAAATATTTAAGATATCATTTATATTGAAATTTTAGCTTAAGGAAATAAGATGGTGTGGAAATGCTTGGTTAGGATTTCATCTTACGAATCTATGTAACTAAAAACATATTATGCTTCAAAATAGAAAGTCAGAAGAAAAATATAAAAGTTATTTGCGAAAATATTCGGGCATATTTTTATAGCATTCAGTTAACTAGTTATTTATGTTCTATAAAAGCTTAATCACGTCAGTTTTAATTTCAAATGAAGGATTGTGTTAGTTCAGTTCTTTAAAATTTGCTTCGCCTTTTTGTTTTCGCTATAGAGAAAAAACAAAAAAAAAAAAAAAAAAAAAAAAAGAGAGAAAAAAGAAAAAATGTCCATAAAAAATAAGGATTCAAAAAAAATTATCTCAGCAATGTCCCTATTGTTACTATTCCTTTCTACAGTTGAAGCACAAGCTGTCTTTGATATAACCAAATATGGTGCTCAAGCTGACGAGAAAACAGATTGTTGCGAAGTATGAGCAAGCGTTTCATCCTGGGATACAACTGTATTTCCTTAGTATTTGATCCTTAAAAAATCACGCTAATCTTTTTTCCTTTTTTTTTCCAATCCTAGGCTGTAATGTCTGCTTGGAAAGAGGCATGTGCGGCAGGATCAAGCAAAGTTTTGATTCCGAAGGGAACATTCTTGATGGGCATAGTGAAGTTGGAGGGTCCTTGCAAAGGAGCAATGGAAATCGAACTTCAAGGAACCTTGAAGGCTCCGGCAGACCCGAAAGCAATCAAAGGAGAAGGTTGGATCACCAGATCACCATCGAGATCATGTAGATCAACTCACAATATGCGGAGGAGGTACTTTTGATGGTCAGGGAGAAGCTGCATGGAAGGCAAATGATTGTAAAAATGGCGGAGAAGCACCTCCTATGGTATATTCCTTTTCGTATTATCTAATACAATTTAACTAACAATTTTAGAAAATCTATGCACCATAACATATTTAACGGGATTCTCATTGCTTGAAATTTTTATCAGTCGTTAATGCTAAATTGCATCACCAACAGCGTTGTGAAGGACGTGACTTCGCTTAATAGCAAGAATTTTCACGTAAATGTCATTGGATGCGAAAAACTCACATTTGAAAGGTTTAAAATAGACGCACCTGGAACTTCGATCAACACCGATGGAATACATGTAGGACGATCGAAAGAGGTCACTATAATTGACACAAACATTGGTACGGGTGATGATTGCATCTCTATTGGTGATGGGACAACAGATCTGAAAATTGAAAAAGTAACATGCGGACCTGGCCATGGGCGGACTGGCCATGGCATCAGCCATAGGGAAGTTTAGGGAGGTATTAAAAATTGAAGAACCTGTTTGTGGGGAGTCAACGTTAAAAATTGCCCACAATCACAAGGTACCGATAATGGCAGGTACCGATAATGGAGTGAGAATTAAATCTTGGCCTGGAATGGAACCTGGCGAAGCAACTAATATTCATTTTGAGGATATTGTAATGAATGATGTCCAGAATCCTGTCCTTATAGATCAAATGTATTGCCCTTACAATCAGTGCCCGAGCAAGGTACTCTTCAATCTAGGAAAAATAAAACTCATGCTATGCAATTATAATGCCATTAAAATATCACTAAAGTTTTTTTCTTCTTTTTCTTAATGTTTTTCTAGGACGCACCATCAAAAGTCAAAATTAGCGATATTACCTTCAAAAATATAAAAGGCACTACTACAACACCTATTGCTGTTCAACTTTCTTGCAGTACTGGCCTCCCATGCGAAAAAGTTGAACTTGCTGACATCGACCTCGTATACTCCGGAAGTGAAGGCCCTGCAAAATCTGAATGCACCAATGTTAAGCCAACAATCACAGGAAAGTTGTCCCCGGCTGGATGTTAAGATAAAAACCCTGTATACTCCGGAAGTGAAGGCCCTGCAAAATCTGAATGCACCAATGTTAAGCCAACAATCACAGGAAAGTTGTCCCCGGCTGGATGTTAAGATAAAAAAGTCTTGAACCATATCCTTTGAATAACAATAATAAAAAAGTCTTGAACCATATCCTTTGAATAACAATAATTAATAGTTTGTTAATAAAAATATGCTTTATGCAGAGATGCACCCTTTGTATTCTTGAGTGGTGGATTATAGGCATGCATCCTTGTAATGCTTATAATTTTGCTCGGGTTGCGGATTATGTTAAAGAGAATGAATGAGATATCAAATTTTCATTTCTATCTTATTCCCATTTTATAGTTAATTTTTTTTATATTATCTCGTTTTTATTGTTTATCTTTCTTTGTATTGTCTCCGTTTGCGTCATTTTCATTTTCTTATGTTTTAAAAATATATTAATTAAATTTTTTTGAAACCATATGCTCATTCCGCCCTATAATAGGCCTGATTCGACTTTCACATATACTAAAAAAACATATTTTATATGGTCAAACCATAAAGCAATAAGTTATTTAAAAATCTGTTAGATAAATAAAATATAGTGAAATGTGGGAAATATTTTTCGAAGAGGATTAGCTTGACTTGGGTTCTTATGCTTTAAATATCCATTATAGAATACTATATATATATAATATATATATATATATATATATATTATATATATATATATATATAATATTATATTAATATATATATATTATCATTTATCATTTATAATATAATTATATATTATATATTATCATTTATAATTTTTGGAAATTATCCTTTTTTTTTTTTTTTACTTTTTGCTAAAAGTCCTATGAGCAAATAATTAATTTTATGAATTTTTTCGACGAAAAAACTCTTCCAACGTGTTATATGCGTCTTATCACCGACCCGAAACTATTGGTGTGGAACGGCACTACGGCCCAGATAGGTTAAAACTCACCGAGGACCCGTAGTGAGCCTAATACATTAATAGTAATTTGTTTTAAAGGCCATTGTAAATTATTTACCTGGCAAGAACCAATACAAATCGCTCAATTAAAACATCTATCCCGAACCTAGCTTCAACTACAAGTAACATATATACCCATTAATTTTCATAATCTTACAAGACTTAACCACCTGTAGTCAATGGGTCTTCCAATCAAATATTGTAAACACATGCAAACATCACAGGTTTCATGTTGCTCAACTGGCAGTTTAACTCATCTTAAAAGAAGCTTTTTACAAACACCCAATATTTCTATATAATTGCAGATCTCCTACAAATTTTATACTATAATAAGAATTCAATTAAAGAAGAGCCTATAATTCAACTAAAAACTTTATGTCTATTCTAGCTTTGTAGAGGAAAGGATACAATGCTCTGGCTCATATAGGAGGGCGGAGTACCAAGGTTTTCCTAAAAAAAAAATAATAAAATAAATAAGTGAAGCGGGAAGTGAGAGCTTCAATTTAGGAATAATTAATTTACATGGCTTCATATAAATCACACAAAATCTCCGAGAAATTATTCTAAAAAGTGAACATTTCATTAAACACAACATATATATGCCACATTCCAACAGCACCCACAAAATAATATTTCTTCTTCACATAATCAAAAACAAGTGGAGATGGTCTATAGGTCACCATAACCCCCAGCGAGCTCCTCACACATGCCCATTCTCTATATTGTGTGCCACCAGGGATCCGATCCCCATTATATGGCCGACCCCAATCTAATCCTCACTTGACCAAGTCCTCTCATTATTTTTTTCCATTCTTCTCTTTCTATTTTCCATCACCATTCAGTGAGGCCACCTTGTGGTTTTCCATATAATATATATCATCAGATGCACACAGAGGCACCGATCTCCCCATATATGGTCGACGGTATCAAAGTTCGCTTTCACAAACCCGCAGAGATTCACTTCATCCAATTTCCCATACAAACAAAGCACATCATTATTCATAAAACACATGTAATCGAAGAAAGGACAATTAAATTGCAAGGTGCATCAAACCGTTAAACACTATAATGCAACGTGCAAATAGACAATCATATTGCAAATACAATTAGATATAAAATATATAAGTAATAAATGCTAATAATAAATTAAATTTTGGTCCTTGCGCGAAAATTAAATAATATAGACAAAGCGTTATTATAAATAAATGATTCATGATAATGATTCATGTATGATGCAAATGGTATATGCTAGTTATTATTATTCACAATCATAGATGAGAAAATACTTTAATTTGAATTTTGATTTTTTGGAGCATTGAACAAACTAGAGTGATTCTAACAAAATGTATGTAGAAGGAGAGAAAAGAATGAAATAAAGCATGCTCCTAAATAATAATAAAGAATTATCCTAAATAATCCAACAACCTACTTGCATTATTTGGGCGTTATTTTCAACATTTTTTATTAATTTTATCTGACTTTATTAGAACGGGGACGTTTAACATCATACGTGCAAAAAAACGAAAAAACTTTTGGAGCCAAATTAAAAGCCAAATTTTTGAACTTATTCATTGAAGGGCATAAATTTCTAAACTTTTCTGCAAAAAATAAAGGAAAATTAAAGGCCAAATTTTTGAACTTATTCATTGAAGGGCATAAATTTCTAAACTTTTCTGCGAAAATAAAGGAGAAAAATTTAAATTTTGGCTCTAACTTGTTTAAACTTGAATAATTTTTCAATTCAAATTCAAAATTAAAAGCAAAATTTGATTTTCAAATTTAAATGAAATTCAGAAAGCAGTGCTGAAATGCAATACATTGCGGCCACAATGAAATAGAATCCGAGTTTTAATTTGAAAACTCTTAAAAAATTTTATTTTGAAAGTGAGTAATAAAATCTGAGTTTTAGTGTGAGTTTGACAACACAATTTTTAAAGAAAGTGCACAGTCTAGCAAAATATGTGACAACTTCACACTTTGAAAATTGCACAACTAATAATAATAAGGTCACAATGTGATATATAAAGGAGTACAACCATGATAAGAATTTGAAAAAGTGCACAACTAGTAAATTAAAAGGCGACTTACGAAATTTCACAATTGTTAACTAACATAGTGAAATAAAAACCATTGAAAAAGTGCATAAGTACTACAAACGTGGCCACAAAATGACTTACAGAAGAGCACAACTAATAATTAAAAGGACACAAAGTCGCTTACAGAAGTTCACGACTGTTAACTAACACAGAGAAACAAAAACCATTGAAAAAGCGCACAACTACTAAAAACAAAAGGTCACTAAGTGGCTTACAACTGTGTACAACCATTATAAGGATTTGAAAAAGTGCACAAGTACTAAAAATAAAAGGCTACTAAGTGGCTTACAAAAAAGCAAAAGATAATCAGAAAGGGCACAATTACTTCTAATAAAATTACACATTAACCTATTTATTGTCACCATTCTTATCTAGATCAGTATTAATAGTAGCCAGTGTGCCCTCCACAATTTTTCCTATTGGGTCATTTATCTCATCACTTGCAAAAGGATCTCTAGAGTCAATAAACTTCCCTCTTGTCTATGGTTCTTGTGTAAGAGGTTGGGTCTCATTTGAGTCTACAAGTGCTTGATGATCACTATCTTCGGGTGCATTTTTACTTTTTTGGCCATTTTTTTCTCTAGTAGGTGTTTTGAAAATCTCAGAATATTGACCCATTTCTTGGTGAAATTGCCTCAAATCAGCAACAAAAGACTGCAACTCTTCAAGTTGTGTACTATTTTTTTGTGTTTGCTCACTATTTTTATCTATCTTTTCCACTAATGTGGCTAAAAGAATAGTCATTGCATCCAATTTTTTTCAGAATCTCAACATTATTGTCTGCAACTGAAGGCACTCTTCCAGCCGAAGGATAGCTGGCTCCTTTAGTGTACGATTTTCATCTTTGGATCCCCACTCCAAGCATAACATATATTTGTTCCTAATGTTAATAGTTGTGGCCACATTTACAATAATAAAAGTGGATATAATTCATCAAACATATAAAATAAACGCTAGCTCTGTTTTATATGGTCAAATTTATAAAAACGGCCACTGTTGCTATAAAACGAAATGAAAAAGTGAGTTGATAACCTGTCCCTTGAAACACGCGTGCATTAAATGCTGATGATATTTGTGTCTGCCACTTCCTTAATTGTTGAGCTTCAATATTAAAAAACATATATACTTCAAGGCTTTCTAGTCTTTTTAACTTGGCCTGCATCCCAAAATTACTGTTTAGAATAACTTTCTCTATATAAAAAATACACCCAAAAAGGAAATTTTCGCTAAATAAAGATAACAGAGGGGGTATAATAACAGTTGAATGCTTGCTTCTGGTTTGGAATATGAAAAATACTTGTCTAGATTGGGCTCCACGTTTTGGGTATCAAATGAAAATAATAAATTTTTTAAAAATTGATTCTTATTTTACCATTTTTTCCAGTGTACATTTTTTCCAGTGTATACTTAGAAATACTCTCGTTTTGACAAAAATTCATTTTTTTATTGATTTAATCTATGAATGAGGCCATGGATTCGGTCTAGATAAATCTATCATCTCAAACATGGCATTTGACATTGTTCACTATTGCAAAATTTATAATTTAAAGATTAATTGGTCTGATCTTCGGAAACATTGATTCCTCTTTTAAATATTAGCATAAGTATGGTGGGAAAAATTTGCAAGGCTTGCGATTGGAAAAACTTGAAAAATACTTAAAACATTCAAATACATTACAAAACAATATTGCAAAATGGTGATAATCAATAGTAATTTTTCACCACACGGTAGGATGAAAAACTAATCCAAGTTCTTCTCAAATCCAAGTTCTTCTCAAAGATGTTGATTCCACCATTCCATTTTTGCGAATGAGTACATTATGAAGAAGAAAAAAAATATTCAAACAACTCTATCTATGAAACGGGGTAGGCCTGGTACACGAAGCTTACTGCATAAACAACTCTATACGTTTCTATTACAAAATCAATCATATGGTAATAGACAAAGTAGCACACTCTACATGTTTGTGAATGAACATAATTAACAAAAAAATCACTGTAAACAAAAACTAAATGCTAGTTAGATTCAAATGGTATAGGTGTTGTAAGTATGGTAAAGAAAGGGTATAGGTGTTGTAAGTGGAAGAACATAACAATTAAGATTCAAGCTCACAGTCTTCTGACTCTACACCTGATTGGTCTCCTTTAATTTTAAGACTAGCAATTTCTTGGATGACTTGAGCTTTGTCTGCTTCAAATTGTTCATTCTCTGCATCAAATCAACCATAACATAAACTTAAAATCCATGTTTTACTTTGCCCTCTATGTTTCTTTCTTTCTTTCTTTTTAATACAATAACAACAACGACAACTAAAACTTTAATCCAAACTAATTGGAGTCGACAAGAAGTAGTTGAGCTAGTCTAAAGTTTGTTCACCAACCTTCCATAAGTCAAGGAAGGTTGTTCACCAAACCTACTTAAAAGCAAGGTAGTTCAACTACTTCTTGACTACAACAAAATCTAAATGACTTTAACAAATACCTCCAAAAACTATCAACAACACTTGCATCAATAATTTCTTCAATGGAGCTTAGCTGTAAAGCTTTAACACTCCTTCCTTTGATGCAAGATGTTGAAGACAAACACCAAGGTCCTATCCTTAAGGAAATTCAAAATCTTGGTTTGCAATGCCTTGCGTGAAAGAAAATATCTGCTGTTTGGTCTTCAGAACTACAATGAACAATCTGAATTTCATTTTCCTTTTCAGCTTCACGAATTGCATGGTACTTGATTTTTATATGTTTGGTTTTTCCATGGAAAATTGGATTCTTAACCATAGCAACAGCTGATTTATTGTCACAAAGTATTTTAGTTGGATTTTCTAGCTGAAAATTCAGATCCACTAACACCTTTCTCAACCAAATAGCTTGATTTACAGTAGCAGATGCTACAACATACTCTGCCTCTGCAGTTGATTGAGCGACTGAAGCTTGCTTTCTTGTTCCCCAGCAAATGACAGCAGAACCAAGTGAAAAACAAAACCAGTAGTGCTCTTCATATCATCCAATGACCCAGCCCAATCACTGTCTGAGCCCAATCACTGTCTGAGAACCCCAACAACTTCACACACATTTAATCTTCTATTAAAAACAAGCCAAATTCAGCATTCAGCAGTCCCTTGCACATATCTCAGAACTCGTTTGGCTGCTGTAAGATGGTTTTCAATTGGAGAATTCATGAATCTCGACAGTAAATTTGTTGCAGACATGATATCTGGTCTTGTTACAGATAAATACAGCAAAGAACCAACCACGCTCCTATAAGTTGAAGCATCTATAAGCATCTATAGAGTGAGAACCATCATCCTTTTGCAATTTTATTCCATGGGTTGTAGGTATACTCACTGGTTTGCATTTGCTAAGTTCAAACCTTTTAAGCAGCTCCCAAGCAAATTTCTTTTGTGAAATAAAAACCCCTTGCTCATCTTGAACAATTTCAATCCTAAGGAAATAACACATTAAGCCAAGATCATTCATCTCAAAAACCTGCTGCATCTTCAATCTGAATTCTTGAATTAATTGTAAATTGTTGCCTGTGACAAGTAGATCGTCAACGTACACAGAAACGATAAGCACATCAATTCCTTGTTGAGTTACATAAAGTGTTGCATCATTCAAGCTGCGTTTAAAGCCTAAATTCAGCAAGTAATCATCAATCTTGGCATACCAGGCCCTTGGGGCTTGTTTTAAACCATAGAGTGCTTTCTTCAACAAACACACTCTATTGCTTCCATCATTAAAACCTTCAGGCTGCTCAATATACACTTCTTCCTTTTAAGAAAGCTGATTTCACATCCAATTGAAAGACTTGTCGGCCTTCACTTGCTGCTAGTGCCAAAATCAATCTGATAGTGTCAAATCTTGCAACTGGTGCAAAGGTTTCTGAAAAATCAACCCCTTGTTGTTAAACGTAGCCTTTAACAACATATCTTGCTTTGTGCTTATTGATGGAGCCATCAGAATTTAATTTCAATTTGAATACCCATTTAGTTCCAATTACATGCTTATTCATTTAGTTCGCAATTACATGCTTATCAATGCGTTTCTAGGAACTAAAATCCCATGTTTCATTTTTCCATTAATCATCTTCAACTCCTCCCTCCATGGCAGCTCTTCCACTCAGGCAAATTAAGGCTCATCCACGCTGAGTTGTATCAAGTGAGGACAAACTTACATCTGCTGTAAATTCATCTAGGGATCTAGTCCCTCTAATTGCCCATAATCATCTTCATCTGATTCTTCGTAGTGAGCCTAATACATTAATAGTTATTTGTTAAAGGCCATTGTAAATATTTACCTGGCAAGCCCAATACAATCGCTTAATTAAACATCTATCCCGAACCTAGCTCAACTACAAGTACATATATATCCCATTAATTTTCATAACTTACAAGCTTAACACCTATAGTCAATGGGTCTTCCAATCAAATATGTAACACATGCAACATTCACAGGTTCATGTTTGCTCAAATGCAGTTTACTCATCTTAGAAACTTTTACAAACACAATATTTCTATATAATTGCAATCTCTACAAATTATACAATAATAAGAAAATTCAATTAAGAAGAGCCTATAATTCAACTAAACTTTAGTCTATCTAGCTTTGTAGAGGAAAGGATACAATGCTTCTGGCTCATATAGAGGCAGTACCAAGGTTAAAAAAAAAAAAAAAATAATAAATAAGTGAAGCGGAAGTGAGAGCTTCAATTTAGTGAATAATAATTACAATGCTCATATAGTCACAACAAAAAATCACACAAAATGCTCCGAGATATTCTAAAAGTGAACATTCATTTAAACACACATATATATGCCACATCAACAGCACCCACAAATAATATCTTCTTCATATAATCAAACAAGTGGAGATTGGTCTGTAGGTCACCATAACCCCCAGCGAACCGTCCTCACACATGGCCCATTCTCTTATATTGTGTGCACCAGGGATCCGATCCCCATATGTGGCTGACCAATCTAATCCTCACTTGACCAGTCCTCTCATTGTTTTTCCATTCTCTCTTTTCTTTTCCATCACCATCAGGAGGCCACCCTGTGGTTTTCCATATTAATATATATATCCATCAGAATGCACACAGAGCACCGATTCCCCAGTATATGGTCGACGGTATCATAGTTGCGCTTCACAAAACCCCCGCAGAGGAAGATTCCACCTTCATCCAATTCCATTAACAAAAACAAAAGCACATCATTTACATAACCATGTAATCAGGAAGGACAATGTTAAATGGCAAGTGCATCCAACCGTAAACACTATAAATGCAAGTGCACAAATAGACAATCATATGCAAATACAATTAGATATAAGTAAAAATATATAAGTAAATAAATGCTAATAATATAATAATGGTCCTTGGAAATTAAATAAATAGACAAAGCGTTATATAATAATGATTTATGTATGATGCAAATGTATATGCTGTTATATTATTTCACAATCATAGATGAGGAAATACTTATTTGAATTTTGATTTTTTGGAGGCATTGAACGAAACTAGAGTTGATTCTAACAAAATGTATGTAGAAGGACGAGAAAAGAATGAAATAAAGCATGCTCCTAAATAATAATAAAATTATCCTAAAAAATTACAACCAACCTATTTAAACAAGTATAATTAATCTTAGATCTATCGAAATTTCGGCGAAACCTCCCTAAAAAACTGGATTAACCACTTGCCTTGAAACCCTAATTTTAATAATAAATTCTAAAGCTCATCCGTCAAGCAATTCACCAAATATCTATTCCCATCCGTCGTTTATATAATTCCACCACCAAGAAGTTTCCGGACCAAAAAAAATCAAACCTCACTAATAGTGTTGCATAATATAGATATGAAATAAACTGCATGGAATTATTATATAAATACACAATAACATGTAATCAACAATTCTCATTTATAGTTCTCAATTTAAAAATTAAGGGAAAAATTATTTTTCGCCATGGTATAATGGTTAAAAACGTACTCAGGGGACTGCTTTTTCAAAATATATTATTTACGTCCCTAACTTTTATGTTCCGTCCAATCATTTAGTCCTTTCGTTCATTTTAATTGTTTTACCATGAGTCAACTCACAGCTCCAAAGGAGAGAGAATCTTTTATAAACTAAAATTACCGCTCAAAATCCAATTTGTATCCAACACCCTCTGTACATAAATGCTTTAGCAACCATTCTCCGTCATCATTTCTTAATTCAGGAAACCTGTCTTCCCTTACTAAAGTAAAAAATTTTTACCACTCTTAATTTCTCATCTTCCTCCAATATGAACAAAAACTATGTCCGATCTCCAAACCCATCAAAATTAACTGAGGTATTAATATGAATTTTAAATAAGTGTCGGTTGTAACTATAGATCGGCGGATGACATGGCATATATGCTCTTTATCTTTTCTGTTCGGCATTATTTGTTTGGGATAAAGTAAAAATATCGCTGGGACAATAGTATGATTGTCCGAATTTACACTTTTGGGTTGAGCTTGTGTTGCTGGACTGTTTGGTTGAATTGTTGTTTATTTCTTGCCACTATTTATGGGATTCTTTGATATGCATATTTCTCGCTTACTATTATTTTTTCAGAACCAAGGGCTTTTTTTGCCATTTAAGTCAGGTTGTTATTATTTTTTTCACCCTTCATTTGTCTAGCTTGTTTTTATCTCTCTCT